TGTGTGTGTGTGTGTGTGTGTGTGTGTGTGTGTGTGTGTGTGTGTGTCTGTGTGTGTATAATTATCTATGGGACAGAAATATGGAGCAGAAAGAATCAGTATCAGCAGTAACCCAGGCCAAGTCCAGAGGTTCCCTGAGCCTGTTCTTAACTATGAGCCCCAAGCTTCTGTCTTCCAGGATATTTTACAATGATTCCTTACCATTTTACAATGGAAAAGAATCCCTTCACTTTTTCCACTAGAGAATCATGTGTGTGTGTGCGCAGGTGAGCATGTGCATGTATGATGTCAGTAAAACTAAGAGAAAAAACTCTATTTTTAATGAATTAATTGTGAGGCAACTAAACTATCCTAATTTATGCAAACTTTGTTTTCTGGGTATAACAGCGCATCATAAAAATTGCATTTGTGTATATCCTGAGAAATATTTTTAAAAAGCTGTAAGATTACATTACCCTTGCAGGAAAGTCTGGTTCAAAAGGACCTAGAAAAACATGTGTGACTGATGATTGCAGAGAAAATCTCACCATGCTTTCAGTATCAGAACCTGGCTTCCATTCACTTTTTAGGGATGTGTTTTAAGCACCTAGCTTAGCTTCCATTCACTTCCATCTCCTAAAACATACTGTTATGTTACGCAGGGGATTCCTGTGGACAGCAAATACAACTGAGAGCACCATTTCAGAATAACTACAGAACAGTACAAGACACAGCCTAGCAGGGTAACTTGTACAATATAGATGATAAACATATTTTTAATGGAATCAATATGGATGTAAACTCAATTCACATAGGTATGGACAGCCAACATTCTGATCCTATTATGTTCAGAATAGTTTGAAAAAGCTTCATAGAACTTTACTATAATAACAAGATCAATAATGATGCATTATTTACTTATTACTGAGTGTCAACATATACTCCTCTCAGCAGCATGACTTATAGGTATTATCACTCACTTTTCCCAGCTTAGAAAACTCAGACTGGGAGGCTAATTACCTTAGTTGAATTGTACAATAAACAAATGTAAAATAAAATGTTCTGGTTAGCATGAACTGTCACCATAGTTTATTGATCAGTTTATTTCCCCTAGAATACCTTCCATTAATTTCTTCAGTTTACTTTCAATGGGCTTCCTAGAGGTAAAGAGATTCCGAACTAGTTCAGAACTTCGCTGAAGTCTTTTTGTGAACCTTCATAATTTGTCAGAGACAGCCTCTTCACTCAGTGACACAAACCATATTTCTGTGGGGTTTTGTGCTCCAAAAAATGGCAAGATAATAGTACTGAGTTTTATGGCTGTACTTGGTAATATGTGCTCCACCCCCACCACCATCATGTTCTACTGAAAACTCGTGCTAGCTAGCCATCTGACTCCATCAGTGAATTAAAATTAAGTATGATTTCTCAATGGAAGGAAAGTGATGTGTTTGTTTATAGAACCTCTAGGTAAGATCTGGGTTAGTTATTTGGGTGCAACATCTGATACTTCCACTAAGACTTCCTTAACTTGATAGTATTTTCCTGGTGCAGCTGGGCAGGGGAGGCAGATGATTTCACTGCTCTTTGTCTCTTCCACTGTTAGCACATCAGTTCTCTGATACTGATGGCCAAGTGATTTACTCCTAGATGTCCATGTTTAAAAGATAGGGTTCCTGGATGACTTCCCTGAACAATTTGGCCTACTTGTAACTAATTCAGAATTATTTACCTTTTAGCAGAAAGACAAAGAACTTGATGATGCCTTGGATGAACTTTCTGACAGTCTTGGGCAAAGACAGCCTGATCCAGATGAGAACAAACCACTAGATGATAAAGTGAAGGTAAAAGATCTTCCCCTGCTCTACACAGAGAAGAAAAAAGACACTGGTATTATCTGGAGATAGTGAACAGCTAGCCTGCTCCATCTCATTTTCCTGTTTTTTAGTGTAGGTTATATTTTTCTTTTTCTAACTGATGATTATGTTTCTGGCACAGATTCCATTGCAGGAAATATCCTGCTTATGAAATGAAAGCAGACCTATGTTTTAAGTTTTTCTCTTCCAATATTTTTTTTTCTTGGTCTTATCTGGAAATAAGGACATACTACCTACCCAAAAGACATACACTTTCAGTGGTTGTACATTGTATTCATAGTGGCTGAGATCACACACCTAGCATAGGTGTCCCCTGAACCTCTTTTGCAAGCATAACTGAATCTGAATTCAAACTATGTGTGAGAACTTTGACTCTCTAGAGGTATCTCTAGAAGGAAAAAATGAACTAGTTGTCCCATACATAGTGTGTATAAACATGTATATTTAATACAATATTTAACAAGCCATTTCAACTGACTTGATCATATTTTAGAATTAAGAAGTAATTGGAGTTGGGAAGATGGCTCAGTGGGTAAAGTACTTACCACACAAGCCTTACATGAGTACAAATCCTTGGTCATGTAGTGTTAGAATCTGTACTTTCAGCCCATACAAAGATGGCAGACACAGGCAGGAAGCTTGTGGACCAGCTAGCCAGGCGTGTGCATTGGAAAACAATAGATCCTGTGTCAAGCATAATGAAGTTGAAGAATGACATTGGAAACATACATGCTGTGGCATGCAAATGCCTGTGCATGTCCATGTGCACAGGTGCACGCACACAAGTCATATACACACAAAAAAATAATGAAAATAATAGAAGAGAAGTAACTTTCCGAGCATCTGAAGCAATGTGACAAAGACAGGACATTTTCATTGTCATTCTATCATTATTATAGGAATATTGAGATTAACTTACCATATATTTTAAAACTTAAATTGTAATGCTGCACAGAGGTATATCCTTACTCCATAGAGACATAGAATGTCACAGGAAAGGGATACCAGGGAACCCCACAGGTAGGGATTCCAGGATGGGTGTGGCTTGCTCAGTAGCAGGTATGCTCAAACATCAGTGCCTCCTGTCTTGCTCCTTTGCAGTGATTTAAAATGGAGCTATAAATATTATCTCTGTCTACCAAGGCATTGGGACCTGACTTAATGTTAAAAGCAAAATTTAATCAGAAAAAAATAATTTATTCCTTCAGGCTTTTAGTTACCAGCAGTAATGTTTCTCAGTATAGTTGTTTGATCCTTTCAGTTGAAAATTCACAGATTTGGTTGACATATAGAAAAATCAGGACTCACAATTTTCATCCACTCCCTGCTTAGCATCTGTTTTGTTGCTCGGTTCCTTATGTTTTACTTCATGAAACTATAAAAACTGTAATTTCTACACTTTGAATTGTATTTTGTAAGTGAAGAAGGAAATGAACATTCCTTTATCTCTTCAATGTTTATAGGAAAAAATCAAAGCAGAGCATAGTGAGAAATTGGGAGAAAGAGACGACACCATCCCCCCTGAATACAGGCATCTCCTGGATAATGATGGGAAGGTAAACTAAGGCAAACAGCCTAAATTAGATTATGCTCTCAAACTTTTCAATTATAACTTCTCTGGAAGTAAATGAAAGCTGCACTATCATAATAGCACATCATGACTGAGTACTTTTAATGTCCCACCAGAGGTGACAAACAGGCGTTCCTATCCCTCTGCCGTATCTACTTGAGATAGTCTTATTAGATATTCATGTTTTGGGCCGTGCCATAAAATCACTGTTGAATAATGCTTACTAGATCATGATAATGATCCCAAGAAATATATACTTAAGAATTATTTTTTTTTCTTACAGTGGAGATAATTTTTTTTGTTTCTTATTTATTTATTTATTTTAATTGGATATTTTATTTACATTTCATATGTTGTCCCCTTACCCCATCCCCCACCCACCTGGGAACCCTCTATCCCCTTACCCCTCCTCCTTCTTCTCTGTGGATGTAACCCCTACCTACCCCCCACTTCCACTTTCCCACCCTCAAAATTCCCACCCCCTGGGGTGTCCAGGCTTCATGAGGTCAAGGATCTCATCTTCCACCTATGCCCAGCAGGGCCCTCCACTCTTACTTATTCAGCTGAAGCCCTGGATCCCTCCCTAAGTGCTCCCAGGCTGGTGGTTTAGACCCTGGGAGCTGTGGTTGGTTGGTATTGTTGCTCTCCTCATGGTGCCACAAACCCTTTCAGCTCCTTCAGTCCTCACTCTAACTCCTCCATTGAGAACCCCATGATCAGTTCAATGGCTAGTTATGAGCATCTGCCTCTGAATATGTCAGAATCTTGAAGGCCTCTGAGGAGACATCCATATCAGGCTCTTATCAGCATGCACTTCCTGACTTCCATATCAGCATCTACCTTTGGTGACTGCACATGGGATGGATACTCAGGTGGAAAGGTCTTCAAATGGCCCCTCCTTCAGTTTCTGTCCCTCACTTTGTCTCCATATTTGCTCCCTTGAGTATTTGTTGCTCCTTCTAAGAAGAACTGAATCACCCCCACTTGGTCTTCCTTTTTTATGAGCTTCATGTGGCCTGTGAGTTGCATCTTGGGCATTTCAAGGTTCTGGGCTAATATCCGATAATCAGTGAGTGAATACCATGTGTGTTCTTTTGTGATTGGCTTACTTCACTCAGGATGATGATTTCTAGTTCCATCCATTTACCTAGGAAACTCTCGAATTCATAGTCATCAGGGAAATGCAAATCAAAACAACCCTGAGATTCCATCTTACACCAATCAGAATGGCTAAGATTAAAAACTCAGGTGATAGTAGATGCTGGCGAGGGTGTGGAGAAAGAGGAACACTCCTCCATTGTTGGTGGGACTGCAAGATGGTGCAACCACTTTGGAAATCAGTGTGGCGGTTCCTCAGAAAATTGGACATAGCATTACCTGAGGATCCAGCTATACCACTCCTAGGAATATACCCAGAAGATGCTCGAACATATAACAAGGACATATGCTCAACTATGTTCATAGCAGCCTTATTTATAATAGCCAGGAGCTGGAAAGAACCCAGATGTCCTTCAACTGAGGAATGGATTCAAAAAATGTGGTATATTTACACAATGGAGTATTTCTCAGCTATTAAGAATTAAATTTTTAAGAAAACTCTCTAGAACTGATGGAAGCAATGAGACATCAGAGAAGCAGTCTGTGTGTAGAGAGCAGAGGCAGGGTGGTAGAAGAACTAAGAGGCCAAACACAACAGCCCACACCCTCGATTCCTTTCTCCCACAGGAGCACCAACCCTCTCTGGAGGCACCAGGTCTATTTTGACATCACACAGGCCAATCTGACTGCTTCCTCCTTTCTGTTTTTTCTAACTGTTTTAGATTTGTTAGATGATGAATCATTCTTCCCAGGCCTGCTCATCAAATGGAAACAAGGGAGTCCAAGTTCCATCAGTATACTCTGATGCCATGGGTGGGGCAGCCCCTCCCTGGCCAAAGCCTCAGTGCCCTAGGAGTACTTTGTTGCTTACAATTCTGTCTCCTGCTATCAGTCACCATCCCTCATGTTGATATTACAACACCATCTTGTTTGCCATCATTGGAGGTGCTTAATTTATTGCTCTTGCCTTAAGATGGATAAGAACTTTGTAAGTTAATGATACTTGTAATTCCTTCCTGAAAATAATCTTCAGATCTTTTGAAACTATAATGAGCATCAGGCATGGTGGAGGCCTACAACCAGTTATTTGGAAGTCTTAAAGAAACATTGGAAGTTCAGCCTGGGCAACATAGATTTTGTTTTTTGTTTTTTTGCTTTAAACAAAACAAAAACAACAAAACAAACAAACTGGAATGTATTAGGCTCTGGGTTCATTCCTAGAACCACCCAAACTAACCAAACAAAAATCCAGGGTGTCTGGTGAGAATAAATTTTATTACTTGGTACCAGAAAATTCCTACACAGTCTCTGTGTACTTCCAGAATCAGATCTTTGCATCTAGCTACTGAAATGGCTATGAAAATGTCAGTTTAGTAGAAATCTGGGTTAGGTGCCCATTTCTTCAGTTTTGTATAATATATGCTTACTGTACGACCGAGTGAACCTAAGCAGAGATCTCTGGTTAACCAAAGACTACCTTGTTTTTAAGGACAAACCAGAGAAGCCACCGACAAAAGAAACAGAGGTAAATACTTTGATGTATATTTTCATTGTCTTTATTATATGTGTAGTTTTTTTTAAACTTTTTAAAGAAACTAAAATTTATTAAGTATCTTTTGTCTTGTGCCAATGTGTGCAGGTAAGCCTATATTACCAACTTTAATTTATTTCTCATAAGAGCCTTTTAAAAGTAGTAGCAGATTTCCAAGTGAGAGAACTTGTACTGAAGAATGTAGCATGACCCCAAGCATGGCGGCACATGCCTATAACCAACCTGGGATAAGGGAAACAGGACAATAAGGAACTCATAGTTACATAGAGCGTTTGAGGTTGGTTTGGACCACATGAAACTGTCTCAAAAAATAAAATATGGGAAATAAAGATGTTCAAGTTTCCATGCTTTATGTCTCCTTTACCTAGTGATTTAAGGAAATAAATGCCAGTGAGCATTTCTTCTTAACCATATGTTACTTTTAAGTATGAGAGAAAGTGCTCTATGACTATCTCCATGTGTTTCTACTAACATATTAGAAACCTAATCAGGACCAGGACCCCATTGATGCCCTCTCAAAAGATTTGGACAGCTGTCCCTCAACTACAGACACTTCACAGAATACAACAAAGGTACTGTACTTTTTCATACTGATTTCTTTGAAATACCCATCTTTTTAGAGCAGAATGAATAGAATAATGTTATAGAGAACCTTAAAATAAAGTTATAATTCTGCTGCCCACAACACTATTATTTAATGTATTTCCTTGGTTTTGCTAGTAAACACAAATACTTTTATAAAATTGTCCTTATGTTTTGTTTCTTAAATCATTTAACACCATTTCATCAGGGTTCTGCATGTGGTGTAAAACCTCCATAGCCATCATTTTTGGTTGCTATATTGTTTTGTCTGTGACAGATAACTCTGCTCATTTTTCATGGCAATCTTTGACTCCCTAGGCCTTCTTCTGCCCATTTGTTGTCAGGAATTTCCTGGCTGACTTACACTTTTCATGGCCATTTCTAGCCTTTGTCCCTTCCCAGGCCAGCCTAGCAACCTTTGAGCACTCTCTCCCAGCATGTGGTCACCTGGTACCAGCTACCTATTTCCCACTGAGTTGGGCATTACATATAGTAATTGGATCTTTGATTTCCATGTTCAGATTAGCAGAGTGCTGATATTTAATACGTGCTCAAAACATATAATTTGAACTGAATAAAAAACTAAACCCATTATTTTTTCCATTATTACAGGTTAATAAAATGAATGAAAACAAATATGTAATTCCATAGTTTCAGGGCACTTAACCTATAGAACACATCCTGTAAATCACACAGAAGGAAGGGTGGGTGTTGCCATCTGTTCATTATTGTTTCAGCTGCTTTTAAACACAACTCGTGGGTGCATCTTTATACCTTCCAAGTTATAGCCTTCCAATTTATAGCCTCCTTCAGCCTTCTACTTCTCTCTTCTAGAGACTGGTAACTAATGTTTCTGTTTTCTTTCTTTCCCTCTTTTCTTCCCTTTCCCCTTTGTTTTCCCATTCTATCCCTCTCCTCTCCTGTTTTATCTTCACCCCTTTCCAGTCCATTCTATCCTTTTATTTCTTCTTTTTGGTAATTGTATTGCGCCTTTGGAAGCACAGTTTCTATTGTTACATCCATTTCTCTCCCTACCACTGAAAACAAGTGTTTGTCTTTTGTTTTTGTTGTTTTCCTCCATGGCACAAAAAAGTCTAAGTTTAAAAACAAACAAACAAAAAAAAACTTTGATCTTTCTAAACCTCTGGTTTTCTAAAATAAAATTGTGGCATATATTTGGGGTTCATGCTATGAAATAATGGGATATGTTAAACACCCATGTGACCACCATTTTCCTCTTATTTGTAGCCTTCTAAATGCCCTGCCTAAAATATAGGTATATTCAGTTATTTTAAAAATAAGTAGCAAGCAACCCATTTTTATTCAGTTATGTTGGGAGATATAGGCTGCTAGGAAGAATATTCTGGATTCATCTAATGGCAACATGTTGTCATTGTCTCCATGGATTTTTGATAGCAGAGGCCTCATTACATTTCCATTGCTTTAGGAGAAGAACAAGAAGACTTCAAGTTCCAAAGCATCCAAGAATGGAGAAAAAACAAAGGACACCTCTAAGGTAAACATGGTCATAAACATACCAGTATTAAATTAACAATTGACAAGAAAGTAGGGTTTACCTGTTTGTCATTTAGCTTGATATTGTAAGCTATTTAGAGCAGAAGACTTTTAAGCAATAGCTATCCCCCAGCATGCCTTGCTTAGGAAGAAAAAAAAAGTAATCTCTTGGAGGTCAGAGTGATGGCTGAAGTGTTAAAAGTACTGGCTACTCTTTCAGAGGATCTGGGTTTGGTTCCCAACAAGCACATGTTGCTTATAACCATCTGTAACCCTGGCCTCTGGGGTCATCAGGCACACACATGGTGCATGATACACATTCAGGAAAAACACATAAATTTAAAAAAAAAAAAGGATTTTAAAAATTAGTTAAAATGAAGATTTAAAAGTAGAAACTCATGTTGTGTTAAATATATATAAGTAACTCGTGTTTTGAAAATATAAATGAAATGTGTCCTTAACATAATTCAAGTGGGATGTGGTTCTTGCTTTTATTAAAATGCCTCCAGAGCCTGTGATTTACATGTGAGAACATGGAAGTTGTTCTAGTTTGATTTTTGATGCTATAATAAATCACCCTGCCAAAAAAAGTATCTTAGTGGAGGAAAGTTTATTTGGCTTACACTTCCAGATCATATTTGGTCCCTAAGAACAGTCTGGAACTCTGGAACTCAAGCAGAAATTTGAAGCAGAAACCCTGGGAAAACACTGCTTTCTAGCTCTGTCATAAACCTCTGCTTAGCTAAGTTGGTTTTTTGTTTGTTTGTTTGTTTACAACTCAAGCCCACTTTCACAGGGACAAATGCTGTCCACAGTGGGCTCAGCCCTCTTAAATCAATTAACAATCCAGATTTAGTCCGCCACAGACATGTCTGCTATGTTTTGTAAAATGTGATATGCTGTGGTAGGGGCATTGGGGGGAGGTGCCTTAGTGGGCCCATGCTGAGGCACCCGCCTTGAGGTCCCTGCTATAAGATTGGTCTAGTAGAAAATAAAGTTTATTTGGGGACATGGGATGGGTAGTTTAGAATGGAGTAGAAGGAGAGAAAGAGAGGGGACAGAAAAGGACAGAGAGAAAGAGAAGGGGGTGGGGAAAGAGAGAGAGAGAGAGAGAGAGAGAGAGAGAGAGAGAGAGAGAGAGA